CACTTCAACTTTGTCAGCAGGACTTCCCCGCTCCGAACCTGACCGGACGGCCCGGCAATAGAGGACTACCCTCTAAAAGGATACCCTGGACTACCCAGGGAAACGAAGGGGGAGTTCCTGGTGACTTCCACCAGACTTGGCGTAGGGGTGCTCAAGATGTTGTCATGATTATCTCAACACTGGTTGCACCACTGACTCACTTCGAAACATCAGAGCTACTTTTAAACACATCGCGCTTCGATTTGAATCACCTATGATATCCTGTACAAATCTTACACATGGCACCTACTCCATGCACGGCTTCTTCAAGCTGCACCATTAAATCAGTCACCTTCCTACCACAGGCCAACATGCCTTCCATGTTACTTCCTACAGGTCCTACATGGATTGTGCCACTGAGACCATGCCTGTACAGAGTTTGGCCCCTGTTTTTCGGGGGTCCCACCAACCCTACAACAACTTTCTCTACGACCCTCTCATCTTCTCCTTCTGCAGATTCTTCGCCATCCGACTCTTCTGAACTGCTCGTCGAGTTCTCGTGCTCCACAAACCTCTCCACCTCTTTGATCGGTGTCTTCACTGTTGCGATGGTCTCCACCGGGGACTGCACGTCCAAGACCTCATCACCACTAGATGGGGCAACCTCCTCGACTGCTTCCTCCGGCTGCTTCCTCTTCCACCTGCCTGATCTGGACTGATCTGGCATGAATTCCCCGAGTGCTATCTTCACGACCAGGTCGTTCAGCATCTCAAGCGGCCCGGCCAGTGCGTCTCGGCTGTAGATGACCAAGGACTTGCCTTGGGCTTCACATGATAGCCCAACATTCTGCGCGCTTTCTCCGGCATGGCTGCCTTCGCCATCCACGACAGTGATGTCGCTTTCATGCTGTGCGCTCCCACATTGGTCAGGTCTTGGTCCACCACGTTGTATTTCTGCAGCATCTCACAAAGCCAGGTGCTAGCTTCTGAAGTCTTCAGCTTGCCTCTCGACCACCCTCCACCATTGATCGGGGCTGGCATGAACGGCCTGCCAGGACCAGCTCGCAAACCAGCTTCCTTCCTAGCCTGCAGGAAGCTCGCAGCCCAGCATCCTCTGCTGACTCCCACAGCTGGTGCAGCCACCGGCAGCATGCGCCGTGCTCTGCCGAACATCGAGTCCGTCTTGTGCATGCTCGTCCCTGCTTCCAGGTAGTCTCCATCTATTGTTGGTTCACTCTCCACTCCTTGGCTGTTGCCAAAGCGCAGAAGCCCGTAGATGCACATCAGGCAGTGGCAAGCGAACACCTTGTCTGCCTCCACGTTGTCACCAGTGACAACTGCTTCCAGGGTTCTGACTTGATCCACTGTCAGTGCATCCCGTTGTTTCAGCAGCCTTTTGGTCAGAAAACTCCTGTGGCACGACCCGCTGACTGCAGCACTGTCCAAGATCTCATCAACACCTGCTACCTTGAAGGTGCCCTTCAGGAAGGCCAGGGCACTCCGAAAGCTGTTGGCACGAGTTGCTGGTGCCTTGTTCCGCCTGAGCTCGTCTACATACTTGTAGGCCTTCTCCACAGAGAGTGGGAAGGCTGGTAGGCCCTTGGACTTGGCCCATCTGATGTAGAGGAGCACCGCAGTAGACCGAACCTTCAAGGTCCCAGTCTTCTTTCGTGCCAGCACGTCCACCAGCATGGCACTGCCCTCATCCTGGATCATTTTGCATGTCTCACATTCTGTCCCAATGGCTGCACACACCACCATCCAACGTTCGAGTTCTTTGTCTCGTTCCTGTTTCTCTTCCTCCACCATTGAGGGCCTTTGGCACTGCATCTTCAGTGCTGACATAGATCTGTTCTTGTTGTCCTTCTCCGCTGGCTCTGGGGGTGCCTGTTCAACATCCACGTTCTGGTAGAGCTCCCCCAGGTCAACCTTTAGGTTGGGGTCAACGTTGGGCATGAACAGGTCGACCCCTTGTCCCAGCACCAGACCTGCAAAGCCATGCTCCCATGGCAGGACCAAGGGGCCTGGCATTCTGCTGCCCAGTGCCGCAGCAGCTGAGGCCAGGCCGGACTCAAGTGCATTCGATGCTGCCTGCTGCTCTGTCACCATGTCCCTCAGGACTTCCAGGTTTATAGGTTCCGGTGCAGATGGCTTTGCTTCCACTTCCATGGATTCCATCACCACTGACGTAGGAGAGTCTACTGAAGAAGGAGCCCCTGGTAGCCCAAAAAGGTTGTCAGCAGCTCCCAGCATCTGCAGCCTTGCGTCTACCTCAGCTGAGAGCCGCAACTCTTCGGTTGACATGGCTTGGTCACTATCATCTGCCATCCCGGCCATACCCCCCTACTTGATGGCACTGTGATCGAAAAACTTGCCAGGGGGTGTGGCCTTTATCCAAAATGGCCACGGGTTTGCAAACGTTGCAAGACAGTCTCTGTCTCTCCTCTGTCATTGCTTGCATAAAAGGCATGATTACTTCGTAACATGTTGCATATATTATGTTCTATCCATATCTTTCGGAGTCTTGGGGTCCTGGGCTGAAACCTGCGCTAAGTTGGTGACAACCTGTTGAAGTGGGCGTAGGGTCTGTGGAATCTTTGCTACATGAGGCCTGGTCGTTTCTGCAAAATGCATCAACTTGAGGCCCAGGGATAAGGGACGAGAGCTAGCCATTAGCTTGGCAGAGAGCTTGGCATGAAAACACAAAGGGCACAGCACAGCTGTGCAGCTTTTTTGTCAACGTGGACGAGCGGGTCTGAAGCTGGGGCGTGTTGGTAAGGTGAACATCCAAACCTACGTATTGAGGCGATGTATGTTGGAGGGGACGAGGATGAGAACATATGATTATGAATGTACCGTTGCACGAAGAGGATAAGGAAATTCAGCATAGCCAACATGATGACTAGTGATTGGGGAAGATTCAAAGGTCCACCTTCGGCCTCGGAGTGGACCTTTGGAAGCGCGGGGAGAAGTAACGCAGTGCAAAGCCAAAGTTGAGGACAAGAGGTAGGTGAGCGTGAACAACATGAAAATAAAGCTAGGCCAAGGTTCCATAGAGCGTAAAGTGTGAAAACTGTAAAGTTGCGAGGGTGTCAGGTGAAAGTGTAAAGTGTAAAGTGTAGAATGTGGACTGTAAAGTGTAGAGTGCAGAGCATACAGCGTACTGTACAGTGTGCAGTGTGAAGTGTAGAGTGTGGAGTGTGGAGTGTGGATTGTAAAGTGTAGAGTGGGGAGCGTACAGTGTACAGTGTACAGTGTGAAGTGTAGAGTGTGGAGTGTAAAGTGTAGAGTGTGGGGTGTGGGGTTTGGGGGTGTCAAGTGTGGAGTGTAAAGTGTAGAGTGTGGAGTGTGAAATGTAGAGTGTAGAGTGTCAATTGTAAAGTTCAGAGTGTGGAGACTGAAGTTTAGAGTGTGGAGTGTCAAGTGTGAAGTGTAGAGTGTAGAGTGTGGAGTGTAAAGCGTATATAGAGTGCGCAGTGTCAAGTGTAGAGTAATGTGTAGAATGTCTAGCGTTTGGAATGTAAAGTGTAGAGCGTGGGGTGTAAAGCCTAAAGAGTAGAGTGTAGAGTGCAGAGTGCCAAGTGTAAAGTGTAAAGTGTGAAGTGTAAAATGTAAAGTGTAAAGTATAGAGTGTGGAGTGCAGAGTGTAAAGTGTGGAGTGTGGAGTGCTAAGTTTAAAGTATGGAGTGTAAAGTGTAGAGTGTAGAGTGTGCAGGGTGGAGTGCGTAGTGCAAAGTGTAGAGTGTGGAGTGTAAAGTGTGAAAAGTGAAGTGCAAGGTGTAAAGTGTAAAAGTGTAAAGTGTAACGTGTAGTGTGTGGGCTGTAAAGTGCAGAGTGTGGAGCATACAGTGTACAAAGTGTAAGGTGCGGAGTGTAAAGCGTAATGTATGGGGTGTGGGGTGTCAAGTGTAGAGTGCGGAGTGTAGTGTATAGTGTAGAGTGTGGAGTGTAAAATGTAGTGTAGAGTGTCAAGTGTAAAGTTCAGAGTGTGGAGTGTGAAGGGTAGAGTGTGGAGTGTGGAGTGCCAAGTGTCAAGTGTGAAGTGTAAAGTGTAGAGTGTGTGGACTGCAAAGTGTAAAGTGTAGAGTGTGGAGTGTATAGTGTAGAGTGCCCAGTGTCAAGTGTAAAGGGTGGAGTGCAATGTGTAGCGTGTAGTGTGGAGTGTAAAATGTAAAGTGTAAAGTGTAGAGCGCGGGGTGTCAAATCAAAAGTGTAAAGTGCAAAGTGTGGAGTGTAGAGTGTAGAGTGTGGAGTCTAAAGTGCAAAGTGCAAAGTGCAAACTCTAAAGTCTAGAGTGTGGAGTGTGAAGCGTAGAGTGCGGAGTGTCAAGTGCAAAGCATGAAGTGTAAAATGTAAAGTGTGGAGTGTGGAGTGTCAAGTGTAAAGTGTAAAGTAAAAAGTGAAGTGTAATGTGCAAAGGGTCGAGCGCAAAGTGTAGAGTGTGTAGTGTAAAATCTAAAGTGTAGCGTGTGGCGTGTAGAGTTTAGAGTGTGGAGTGTAAAGTGTGGCTAGAGGATCAAAAAAAAAACAAGAGTGGGGGGTGCAGAGGATACCGATGTTGATGTTACTGAGGGTGACCCCGGCAGGGGTTGAGCCCACGGCCAAACTGCCTGTGAAGGGGAGGGGGGAAGAGGGAGGAGGGGGCGGGGGAGGGGGGGCAGTTATATACCTGAGAAGTTTCTCGCGATTGGAGATTCCAGCCTGCTAAAACAAGAGGGGCTTCAGCTAGCAGAAGCTAGCTTTCGTGAAAAGTCGCTTCCATCTTGCCATGAAAGCGCTAATTAAGCGTGGGTCGACCCGAATACAGATACAGCACGTTGTAAAGCAAACTCTCCATACACCAGTGCAGATTAAGGGTGGATTTTGGACATCAAAATTCGGAAGCCCAATTCCACCGTTTGTATCAAAGTATCATAATTTTCTCCATGAAAAGTTTTTTGGGTATCAAAGTATCCCCTGCTTGAGGCAAACCCATTTTGGGGTTCTCAACCCACCAAGCTCCCAAGCCACTGACGATTGGCCTTGCTTGAAATTGTTGGTCTCATCCTTTGCAAACTCCAGAGGCTTGATGCGAGCCTGTATTTGATTAGAGGTTTAGCTTCAAGTCCAACCCAAGCACAAGTGGCACTGGGCAGATTCCTGGTAGGATATGAGTCACAATTGCAAGAGTCATTGAGTGAATGTTCCGTATCATGCAATGTGATAAATCCAATACTAAACCATCCGCAATTCGACCAGAAATGGGTGGCACTTATTATTGATCCATCCAAAATTGGTGGTTAGTATCGGGTTTCGTCTGCAGTTCGGGTTTTCCAAATTAGCATCATTGATGGCTGCCTCAAGGCTCTCCAGCAGCTCTGCATGCTTCAAGCATGTCTTGTCCAGCTCTCGGCACCTGGAAAGTGACGTGGCGATTTCTTGTTGGCCTTCAGGCTGTATCATTAATTGAATACTGTAATGCTGCATTTATATCATGTATATAATATATCCTCCTAGCTCCTAACTCCTCCCATCAAATCCCATCATCTCATCTTCTTAAGTGCACTGTTTGTAAAGGATTGTCATAAACAAGACGGACCAACTTAATGCTTTACAGGCTCTTTCATCTTTGGGCCTTCTTCGACTCGCAAGCAGGAATTGGCGCTACCTTGTGGCAGTTCCTCAAGTTCCCCATCATTCCGCATCTGTGCTTCCACACTGCAAGGCCAACTCTTGGACGTTTTGTTCCAGGCTATTCTTTGAAAGGGTTTCCAACAGCGCATCTTGCACTGAATCCTGTCACAGCTGGCGCATGTGTCAGGAAGGCAAACGTGATGCACGATGCACGATGCTGTTCTCTCCGAGCTGTTTTTTCCCAGCGTACTTGGCTTCTGGGTGAAGCAATGCCATGTTCAAACAAAAAGACTTGCAAGTTTTCACCATTCCCTCTGCATGGTTTCAACCTGTCCTTCCGTTCCAAAGCTGCGGTGCTGGCACGTAGAGACGTCAGCTCTTCATCTTGACGCTGCTCTACTTTGTGCAGCTTTGTCTAGGCGCCAGCAGAAAACGACAAGTGAAGTGCAACTCTGAACTTGGCAAGGAACTTTCTTCCACACAGTGAGTGACACTTGCTTATGCTTTGCTCTTTCCTCACACTTGCACCGTCACATGTCTTCTCTTTCGGTACTGCAATTTACTTTAGGAGTTGATGAACCATTGATGAGGTTGATTTTGAACGTTTTACCCTCTGTCCAGTGTCCCAAGTGAGCTTCTGAAGTCCCCCGATTTGCTTTGCTCACCGTGACTGCATTGACTCCACAGGGCCCTTGCCTGGCCTCAACATCCCGCTTTCCAGCGACCTTTGAACCAGTTGTTTCGTTTCACACTCACAATGCGCGCGTCAAACAAGGGTTCCTTTAGGTTGGTATAATTGCGTGTGTAAACCCTAGTGAGCACATCAGAGAAAACCCATGGAAGTAACTTCACTCGGATGTTTATACAGCATGTTATAGTATTAAACCTTACACACGACAATGTCATTGAAAACCACCACCTGCACCTTCGTCATTTGCAAGTTGATTTTTCCAGTTTGATTACATACAATTCGGAGGCTGAATGTCCACGCCCACCGCAAACCTGTCGGATTTCCAATTGGTGGACGCGAGTAAAGAGCTTCTGGATGTCCAGGTGCAGATCCTCGATGTTGGTTGTTTTGAGCCGTTTCTTGGTGTCACAAAAGTCACAAAATATTCGCGTGAGATTTCACATGGTGTTGGTTGATGCAGTTGGCCCTGGTGCATCTCCTGCACCACACCCTGCATGTCCACAGGGAGCAAGGCCATGGCGGGGCTTAAAGTGCCAGGAACCCGGAGCTTCACATTTGGGTTTGATCAAATCATATGGGGCGTACTTGCATCGATCAGATCAGATCAGATCTATTCAATTCACCTTTTACCGCCATTATAACTTTAATATATTGATATTATAATATGATATCATCTGCAAAAATCTTTTGAATTGTCGTGCAGCGATCTGGTTCCCTTCAACAAGCTGCACAGCATGTCTGCAAAAAAATGAGCTGCGGATAGCTGCGGATGGCTGTGTTGCCCTGTAAAGCTACCATTGTCTTGTCATAGAGTCATCAAATCCTACGGCGAAAAAGTTGGGGAACCGATTACGAAACTCGTGGTGTGGGGCACCATCTGTGGATCTTTTGGACCCACCTTGATGATCCTTGATGGATTTCTGCTCCCAATCAATAGCACCAGGGCCTCGGGGTCTAACTTTGCCAATGCTGCGCGCTTTGCCTGGCACTTCATACAGTGGGGTTGATAATTCCAACACTAAAATGTGGTTTTCGTTGGGATTTATGTGGATCATCTACCCCCCAAAGAGACACAAGGCCACATGGTTTGTGGCGATTTGGGATCCTTTCCTCCCATGACTTGCATTCTGTTGCTTGGCAGGCTTGGCACCAGAACAAAATTCCGCCTCCATCAAAGCTCGCTTCTTTGCCTGCCCCCGCAACACATCAGTAGTGGTTTCTGTACCAACCAGTGCACGGGTGGTCGAATGTCCTCCCAGCTTCACCCCTCTGGATGTGATGTTTGAACTCATGAGTCTGGACTTTTCACCTTCCTTCCCGCAATTTCAATTAGTATCAAGTGTTGCTAAGGTCAATGGGAGGAGCCTTCGTGACAACATTTTGCATTTCTGTGATTTCCATCGAAATTCTAGGTCGGACCAGAAGTTTCTTCAGTTTGTCGTTTCCCCCGCTTCCCAAAACTGGAAGTGCTTGGCCCTACTTTATTGCAGAAAATCTGCGTTGAAACCACCTCAAGCAGTTTCTCCACCTCACTTTTCTCATCCGCCTGCCGAACTGGAAGTACATGCATGTCTGAAATGGCATCAGCCAGGAATCTCCCTTTGCCCCATGGGTGTTCAACCTCCCCCACCAACACGTCAACACCCTCAAGTGGAATGATTGTCCCAACCACACCATGGATAAAAAATATCGAAACTATGTGTTTTGTAAAAATGATGGAGAGACCAACTGGAAAGTGGAAATCTATCCGCCCTTGTTATCTGCGCACAGAACGAAACCAGTCTCCCAGCCTCTTCACTGCGTGGCGCCTGGAATTAACAGCGGACATCACGTGGCATCACGTATCACCTGTACGTATCTGCCTTGTATTCTATGTGTTGTTGGTTCAAAAAAGGATCAGGATGAGCAGATGAGCATGATGAGCATGATGCAGCAGCAACAGCAGCAGCAGTGGCAGGTCCCAAACGACAGTGAGATAAACTTCGCTGTCGAGCGATCATACCTTGGCCGATTTCTGCTCAATCTCAGGGGCTGGGCCTTAGCTGAAACTAGTTGTGTTTTTCTTGCTGGGCATGAGAATCTGCACCAAAGAGATCCACAAACGAACATGATTATCACTCAGATTGACACGTTTGGAACTGCCATTTGTCCCCGCAACGGCAGCATCCTTCACCGAGCATGTATTACGGCATGAGAATTTGGCAACTTCACTGATAAAGTTGAGTAACAAAGCCTTGACATTCTTTCACTGGGCCTCTTGAGCGTCAGGAAGATCACCCATCACATAGCAAAAACGTGCCTTTTTGTTCTGGTTGGACCTCCCTCGCCCTTTCTGTGCGGGACATGTGTGCTTGTTTGGCTTGGAGATCTGAAGATGCTCATAGCTGGTGGGTTGACTGCAGGATGGTGCTTTGCCAAGGGGTTTGCAAGATGGGATGTTTCATGGGAACTTCATTTGCACCACTGCGACAGCTTGCGTAGCAAATAACGAAATGTTGCAATCTGAGATAAATTCGGTCAGGTCTCCTCGTTTCCATTCATTTCCGATTTGTTCACATCAAGCATGTCCAAGTCGTATCTGTTCATGGTCAATTGTTTGACTTGCCATGGAAGAATGTTGACCCGTCAGCTTGCAAACTGTTCCGTTTCAAAGGAGGGTCCGCTGTTTCAAAACATGTTCAGGCTGCAATATCTGTCTTATGAGACACCGACTAGCCCCCGAAAGTGAAACGGTTCCACCAGTCCAGGTTGTATTTAGATGGCATCAGTGCCGATGAAACATGATATGCATTGTGAAGTCATATGCACTGTGTCACTAAGCTCTGTGTGTGCGTGTGCGCATGCAAAAGCGTGCAAATACAGTATTGTGTGTATTTGACTGAGTCACAATTTATGTATAATCAATACACGCGTGATGCGGAAGATGGAGAGGAGAGGAGAGGAGAGGAGAGGACAAGAATGTGTAGATGTGTAGATGTATAGACTCATAGACGTCTAGACGTGTAGATGTGTAGATATGTTTGTTCCTGTTTCTTTAGGAAGAACCCTTCGCTCAGACGCTCGCGGAAAAACAAATAGAAGGCGCATGGGATACCGGCAACTTGGGCGGTTCTGTATAGCACTGGAAAGCCCCCAATTGCTCAGCTGGGTTCCTGTATTTAGAGACCAAGTTACCAAGCATTTTTGCTGTTCATATGTGTGCTCCAAATCCAACACAAAATACGACCAGGCGTCCCTTTTGACCATCAACTGCGCATGGTCAATCGTCTTTGTCATCCTCATCATTGTCATCCTTCTTTTTCCCACCTAGCCAAGAACTCAGCCGTTCCATGCCATAGAAGCTATCTCGAATCGGAAAACTTAAGGCAAGTGCCAAACATGTTCAGGACGTTGAAAAAAATGTAGGCAACCTTGACATCTGATGTGCAGCGTGCCGATATGCCAAAACATGATGGAGCAACGGCAGAGTACGTGTGGAATCCCTGAGCCGGGAACAAAAAGTCCACCAAGCACGTAGGGCAGCCAATTCACTGGCACAAGGTGGAAGAGAGGAAGGCCCTAAAAAAGGAAATCAAACTTAACTGGAAACAAATAGAAGATCATGGAGAGCAAGATGCAACACAGAGATAGCAAAACCGCGTCGAACAAGGATGCAAGTGGAATTTATGTACTGGCTGGCAAACCAGCTATCAATGAAAGATTGTTGGCAGTGCTCTGTGTGCGGGGAGCCGTACACCTGGCGACAGAGTTTGGTGGGCCTCTTTCTTTTTTCTTTGCTTCTCTAATGACCTCTAGTCTCTCCTCAATCCTGACATGGAAGATCTATTCAAAAACCGGCTCCACCAGTGCTTGTGGAGCAAACATGATAATATTAGCAGTTGCAACTGAAGCGAAGAAGGAGCCTTTTCTGTCTTCTTGCCTCCTCCTCTTCCTCAGAACTTGCCTGTTGGCTGTGTGTTGATTTCTTCTGCGGTGGGCGATGACTAGAGTTTGATTAGATCCGTAGCCTCCAGTTCTGGTAGTCCCAACTCCTTTCTCCGCTTGCGCTCCTCAGGCAGCACTTGGGTCACAGAATGAACCGCCAGTCCACTCATGAAACGAAAAATGGGGCTGGGTATGTCTTGATCTATAGCATTTTATCCTGTCCTATCCTTTCGGCAAATCCCTGTCCAAATGCGTTTCCGGTCCTTTGCCATTATGATATTTCGCATCTTCCTGTCCAACCAAGATTTTCATTCTACCAAGGTCTCCTCTGCAGCAGCAATGAGTCGGCGCCGCTTCTTGAGTTCCTGTGCTCGTTCTGGAAACTCTCTGTGGGCCGTGGAAAGTGGCTGTGTCCCCCCCGAAAAACAAGCGACGTAGCTTGATGGAGGAGCGCACAACAAACGCTGAAGATCCAAGACCAACGGCCACACCTCGAAACTCTTCTCCGCCTCTTCTCGCTCCTTCATCAGCTGCTTGTAGGCAACTGGATCCTCCCAAGCTGCCGATACGGCTGGAATTTTAAAAAGGGCGGATCCCTGCTGAAGGACTGCAGCAGGTTTTTTTGCTCAGCTCACAAAGGACCATTCGAAGTCCTCCTTCTTCAAAGCTTCTAATTCCTTTTCCTGCTCCCTGTCTTGCCTGCAAAGTGAGCATCAAGAATTTTGGGGCCAAAAACGATGCACGCGTTCCGGGCTCTGGCTGTCTGCATTGTCACCACTTTAACGCTTCTGGCAAGATGTTGAACTGTTGAACCATCCTTTCTTTCACGTTGAGAGCTGAGTAGCGACAGTATTCACCGCCGTACACTTTTCACCCCAGTTCTCCGCCTAATCTTTTCGATGGCGGCACTGCGGCCAGCACGTCGCTTTGCCTGCTACGGCATCCAGTCTCACTTTTCCGTGGCGTTTACGTGCGTCTGTCGTTTCAGGAGTCAGAGATGCACCACATCTTGTCTCCAAATCTTTGGAGATGGGCAAACTTGGCGACACCACCCGCCACTCTTGCTTCTCTGCATAGTCCTGTCTCAAATTTGCAGGCCATTGGAGACCACTGGCAGTATCACAGCTCTCCCATAAGTTGTGTCTCCACAGTATATGGGTGTGTCTGAAAATAGTGTACCCCTAAACCCAATGGTTAATGATCATTATCCCTATTAAATGGCTATAATTGGGAATATACCCTATTTTCAGACAAACCAATATCAAACTTTATGAAACCTTTCACGTGCAGCCTTCTCAGACATGCCGAGCTCGTCAGTAGGCCCATCTCCACCAGCGGCCTTGCAGGCAGCTTCTCCAAGTGTTTCACAGACTCTCAGGCCCAAATCCCCTCAGGCCTCTTGTTTTGGGAGTGCCCAAGATAGCACCTGCTTCCAGTTGCAATCACAACTCCCTTAAGCCAATGGATGTCTAATGTTTTCTATCGGATCGCTGTCTGGTGAAAGTTGCATGCTATGCCGGCTATGTCACTATGCTACAGCCGTTCTGAACTCGCCAGGCTGACCCCTGCACACTTTGGAGTCAAGTCTTCTCTCGCTGTCCATGTAGAGAGGCACAGAGCAGTATCCTCAGTGAAGAAGGCCTGCACAGTTACAATGATGATCCCAGAATCGACATAGGTTGGATAGATCTACAAATGATCTACATTTCATGAACTTTCTGATTCGGTCAACGAATGCGTCGGACCTCATCACAGGACTTGACGATGTCATCTGCGCATGCTGCATTCAGCGCGATGAAGTCTGCGCACTCCGATGAGATATCCGTGGGGCCTGAAGTGATTCATGATGACGAATTCCGAATTGCAGTTCCATCCCCGACAGACTCCAAAACAATATATTGACCGCATTACGTACCTCACAATCTCTGGTATTACCCAAACACAGTGGAAACACTTGAAAGGACCAAGGGCTTCACTCTCATGCTCGGATTTGTCCTTGAGACACCTGGCTCAATGAAAAGTGCATAGCAGGTTCCCCTGCGCCCTGGTCAAAAGCAAGCAACGCCACTTTTCCAGATCGCACAATGACAATGCAGTACAATCTGTCCAAGAGATTCAAGCGAAAACCTCGAACCTCTATATATCATGTCCAAACGACAACTCTATGCTGTCTAAAAGCTGGCTGGACATGATTTAAAATTGATTCATCGAACTGTTCTAAGTTATTTGGTGGCCTACGATTTTGAGCTATACCAGAAGCTGGTGGAAATTCAATGTGCCACAAATTGGCTCAAAAAACTATAAGCCCCAGCTGATCATTTCACCCTTCCTGCGCCCCTCGCCATCCTGGCCTGGCAAGTTCAGAACTCGCTCGCTCGGGACAAGCGCTCTGCACCTCCGAGTCGCACGGATGCGCTGCCTCGGCCACCATTTTCTCGCGGTTTCTTTTACATCGACATCTGTGACATACAATGCGACATCAGCGTTCCACCTTCACACGTTGTTTGATAAAGATTGATAAAGTGCAATGGGGAAGTCGGGCTAAGAATGTGGACTGCATGCAGCAGGCATACCAGCAAGCAAACCTCAGCCCAGTGGATCCTCACATCCACAGTGAGTGGACTCCTATGCCCTATGCCAAATGTGCACCCTTCCAAGAGCACAGATCTATATAAATCTCATGTCATTTTCCTTCAAGAAAGTGCTTGTCATGCTGGAATGACCAGCTATGACCATTTCAATTTGAAACCATGTGTGGTATCTCGAAAAAACATATCGCATCCCATTTGTTCCAAAACACTGAGACTGTGGCCCAGCTGTACATGTTGGTGGCACAACCAAAACTGCCCATGGCGGCCGCGCGGCCTTGGGTATGTTGACCCTGCTTGAAACAGGGCCTCTGAGATGCTTCGATTTATAATCTGTCTGCCTCAAGAATTCAACCGAAAAAACAAGCGAAAGTCTCCGGTGGATGAGTCTCATGAGTATTTTTCGCTATGTTGTTGTAGCTATGTGATGTTGCCGGGTCGCTGTGCGAACAAATGTTTTGAGGATGATCCTAGAAGAACAGATTACCTACTGTCGGTCAATCTTATCATGCACATTCACCAATCAACTCGTTTAAATCACCTTAGAATCTATTGAAGCACTTCTGAATTCATAGCAGCCCAGATTGAAGCGTCAGCTGTGAGCATTAAAAAACACCAGGTACCCTCATCATATGTGGAGGAAAAACATATATGTAACATATTGTGTATATATATAATTACATATTATATATATACATATTATGTGTATATATATATATACATATATACATATTATGACACATATATGTAACATATTGTGTATATATATATAATTACATATTATATATATATACATATTATGTGTATATATACATATTATGTGTATATATATATATGTTACAAGGTGGGCAAACATGGACTTGCCAACAAGTCGTTGTCTCTTTTGCAAACCGGTGTCATCGCTCCCGCTGCCATCAGCATAGACTTTCAGCTGAAGCAGCTTCAGAAGAGGTCGTACTTTGTCCTCTTCCAATCTTGCGCCTGGCCATAGCAGTCATGTTCCAGGGAAAACTTCTTTTGAAGCCTTTGATAAAAATGTGGTCGCAAAGTTTGGTGCGCGGAAGCCTTCCAATCTCCAAAGCTCATGTGCCGTTGTTCCGAGACAAGGCCATGGATGATGCTGGTCTCAGCTGAAATCTGCTCAAGGAGCTTTTGAAATCATCCATTAGCCAAGCTACACCATCTGTATAGAGCTCCACATCGCCGCCCTGTTTCCCGGGGGGGGAAGAACGAACAACTGGAGGTTAGAAGGATGTAAAAGGAATTCACAACCAGAGGTTGAAAGGCTTTCAGAGCAATCAAATGTCCAGCCTCCATCTTCCAAATTCTTTGCAGGATGCTAAGTTTGACGTTGCTTGCATCCACATAGTTCATGCTGATGCCATGAATGTCCTCAAGATTCCGAACCTCAACTGCGTCATTTCAAAGCGAAACGGTCAAGTAAACTGCGGATGGTCTGTGCACCTGTCGATGAAAAAATCGTTCACAAAGACTATCAAAGTCAGGTGGATAAACCATGATAACCCATAATAAGCCAATGATAAACGATGATAAACGATGATAAACGATGATAAACGATGATAAACGTATCTTGCACTGATCCCCTACTGCCATCTACTGCCTCCCAATGCGTCAGTGAACTCTTCCCCTCAGCTCGCTGCTGCATGAGGGTTGGCAGCAGGGATGAAAATGGTATCTCCAGCCTCCTGGATTCCCATGAATTGCTCTGCGTACCTGCCATACCAATCCATACAGAAAGAGTGCAATGACAATACCAAGATGTCCGAAACATTCGAAGGACAGAAGCCAGCTGCCTTGCTAGTGGAAACCTAAGTCCGAAGTTGAAACAATCTCTCCGAACTATTTGGGTCTGACATCTCTACAACTCCATCTCAGCTCTCGACTTCTCATTGTCAGGGCGGAAAACATCGTAATGGAAGCGGCTGCTAACCGGGCTGTTGTACCTGCAACTGCGACTATACCAATTTCTAATGCTGAAGCTTTGCACATCCAAACGGAGAAAAAGTAAAGAGGATATGATATGATATGTAATATCTTGATATATGTTGCTGCCGGATGTTGCCATTGGCATACGTTCTCTAAATCCAAGCTGCTGCCTGAAATCTATTGCGATCTCGGGGTTCCATGTTAATTAAGATTTGTGAAGTTGTCCAAATGACTCAGGCACAATTCTGAATAAATGGATTCTGAATGCTTCAGTGCCAAGTTGCAGGTTGATCAAGTCCCTGGCCGAATAGAAGCGCCACTCCTCTAGCGAACGGGTTCTTCGAACATGGTGTGGTCGGTGTGAAACAATCCATGGTCGACCCAGCTGTCGTCCTTGCGACCACTCAGCAGGTGGAGCATGAAATGTGTATTCCCAGAATCCTCGGACATCCCATTCCCTTGCCAAAACACCTGGACAGCGCTTGCCCCTTTCTCGCTGGTTGATCAAAACAACGGCCACGCAGCCACACGAAAGCTTGAGGAAATGCATCTTAGTGGCAATGTGCATGGAGCTCCTTGGTGTAGCATTTCTTGCAGTGAAAATGTGACTTCATGTATTTCATGTGGCATGCCACGTGCATTCCACCAACAGACTTGTCTCCCGTATTTCTGAAACCGAGCATCTGAGTCTCGTTGGAGCCAACAAACAGGCTTGGCCAAGAATGCCTCCGACCACGCACTTTCAGTTTGTGGTCTACCGATTTAAGTACTGTATGTTCTGAGGATTGACTTTCCGTCTTTTCACAAAAAATTATCCTCAAATACTCTCAGATATGTATTCATCCAGGATCTCAGATCCTAACAGTATATATCCATTTCTGTCATCGAATATTTGGTGTGCAGAAGTTTGAGTTGGTTGGAGTATGGAATTCGATTTGATGTATTTATCGTTCTGCCTTAAAAAAGTGCTGCTTGAGCTCTTGGATACCCTGCCGGTAGCTTTCAAAGCCAGCGCGCTGAAAGTAGTCGCCCGCAAAGTACTTTGGTACAGTGAATCCTGCAGTGAGCGGTGTACACGGCTCACTCCAAGTAATTAATCCTGTTTTGGTACCAACGCAATCCCCTGTTTCACCCCTCAAAAAAGTACTGTCTGGGCCAACAAAACGGGCCCCAGTCTTTCACGCTTTTCTTGCTTTCCACATCTTGCATGCAGTGTCGCAAATGGCCCTATCCTTCGAAGGGCGCTGGGCCAAAAGCTTCTGGACAGTGCCTGGCAATGGTTTCGACATTGCAAAGCAATACGCATGTCTGTGAAATGAACAAATAATATTCTTCTAAGGTGCTTCAAACGTTATTTCAATCAGAAATGAAACTGGCATATCTGGTACAAGTTTCATCCATGGAACAACTGAGCTTGCACAAACTGCAATTGAAACGCTTGACCAATGCTGCCGTCAACTCATGTCCTCGGCAAGCTCCAGTCATGTAGGTACCACTTGCGGCGCGTTGCGTTGGAAGTGAAGGTGTCAATGAAATCTGCCAGGAAGAGCCTGTCAGCTATAATGAGTTCAACTACATGCACAAAATCAACGCGTCGGATCAGCGAAGAACTTTCTGATCAGCGAAGAAAGTGACAGAAACCTGTACTCCAATGCCATGCACGCCTGCCAGCTTTCTCAAGCCTTCCCCAGCTGTTGGATCTTGGATTCCTTCTGCTCAGCTCCACGGAGACGTTGCAACGGGATCGGAAAAACTCCAGGCTCCACTCCTCCTGTCATCCGCCATCCATGGCTTGGCATATTTGGCATATCAAATTGCAAAACGGCAGGTTGCGAGTGTTGTATCATCCATCTGGGTATTCCTTGGTATGTAGCGCAATGATGTGCAATGTATGAATACTGGGCGACTGAGTGGAGCTCTTTTGCGTTTTGGTCCTTTGGTGTGACATTGAGACCGGTGATGATCACGGGCAATCCAGGTTTGGCGTAGGTCTCAATGAATTCCTGACAGTACGAAATCCTTCGAACAGCAGTCCATTAATCTCCAAGGACAACTCGCCTCCAAGGACAAACTCTCTGCAGCTCGCCGCGGCACGTTGAGAACAGGTCGGGGATCTCCTTGCACGCGTCAAGTGGGATGCTGGTGGCTTCTGCATTTGAAAATTGAGGCAGAAGCTGAGACTTGTGGGACTTGTGGGGCACTATCATGAGAAATAATGTTTCTCATGTGTTTATTTGCCTCCTTTTTTGTTGTCAGTACTGACCTGATCATCCTCCATTTCATCTTGTGAACAAGCACAATTGCAGCGTCCTAAAGCGCCATCCCTTGCTTTCTGGTGGAGCATTTTGAATAGAGATCCTGGATTCGATCAATCACTGACTGGGTCCAGAGAAGTTGAATGCAAGGTGAAATGTTGAAATCATCTGAAGGTCAAGCAACACCTAATGAGCTGTGCTATTGTTACTGGGATGCAGCTACACCAGCTACACCATGACCACACCATGTTTGTCCATTGTGCGCTGCTTCCTGCACACGACAGCTACATCCAAGTCACTGAACACTTCGCGGAGCAGGCCAGAACCTTCGATCCTTGGGTGTGGTTCTGGAAATGCTCAAATCAAACATGCACAAACAGATACAGCACTATATGACACCATGATGCACCTGTGTTCTGGATCGTTCTGGATGGTTTTGCTATGTTTTGCTAGTGTCTGCCTTCAGTATGTTCATATTAGTACACTAGTCTTTAACGAACTTCCTCAAACATCCTGACCAAGATCATCCGAAGACTCATCTCAGCCATTCAACTTGCATCAAGGACTCAGAGCGTGTCTGAAGATTCTTGTCTGTTGACTCCTCGAAATAGTTCCCTTGCCGCTGCCTTTTGGATCTTTTGGCTCCGGCTCCAGGTCTTCCAGATGTTCTAGAAAGCTCAGCCGCTTCTCCATGCTTTTCCAAACACTGAGGCGGTATGACCTCACAGAAGATGTGTCTGGAAATGGAGGATAGCCCAAAATTGCCTTTTTTATGGGGGAATGATGATCTTATGTCGCAAGTCAAACACTTCATACTGGAAGGACTAGGCAAATCAGGGCATGCCACAGGTTTCACTCTGACCTGTTTCCACTTCTGTTTCCACTGGGTGCTGCACTTGTTGCGGAGCACTTCCTCAACATCTTCAGTGGTGGAGACCAGGAGCCGCCTTGGTACGTCACGTACGCCTGTGGATGTGGTCAAACCCAAAAACTCGACATACCAGAGACTTTCCATCATGATTTGATGTGATTGTTATGAGATCAAACCAAACTCGTGTTATATCAGCTGCTTTGCGCCATTTGCTGGCAAGTCACATGTGCTTGTGCAGCTCTTGCACCCTGTCCCATCACTTTCAAAACCATATCAGCATTCCGTACAGAAGATTCTGTTTGAAGGCGGTAATTTGTGAACGTCGACGTGTTTTGTAGCACAAACACCTTTAGGATCTTTAGGGATGGGAGCTGTGCGGGAATCGGACTGCTACCTGCCTGTCGATCGACGAGAAGTCGAATGGCAAGTAGTCTCCATAGACATCCTACACAAGGGCAAGAATCTCCATTCAGAAGTAGGACAGTTTCCTCAACCGCCCGAAAAAAGATTACCAAGTGGCGCTATGGCCCTATATCCTCTTCCCTTGAACCGTCCTGAAAACTCTGGCGCAACAAAGTCATGTGCATCAGGATTGCCTGAGCATTTCGATGCATTTCGGGGTGGATGTCGGGCGAACATCAATGGCCTGTCCTGGTAGATCTCATAGGCTGCCTCAGTCGAGGTGCCCTGCCAGGATCTGCGCAACAGGACAGGAGCTCAGATGACAGACACGTACCCCAATATGAACTTCTTTATAGAGTTTTTATATGTTTTTATACTCAGAAGAGGAAACCACCGAATCAAACTTGGAGGCCATTTAGAATTTTGTCCTTCACCCACTGAGGAACCAAAGGATCATTCGCGCCTCACAAATGTCCTCCAAGTCATTCAAGAAGTCTTCCTGGGTGCTCAGTGCTCACTGAATCTTTCCCAGTCCCGTCATCTCAGGGTCTGTCAGAGGAATCTGGCTCAGCATCATCGATTTCTTCTTCCTTAGCACAGCAAGGGAATCAATGCTTGAGACTCAATGGAGTATCTGCAGCGGGTACACAGTGGCAGCGATTGGGCACCAAACACTAAAATGCAAATGCAAGAGGGCACAGCTCTTTTCACACCAATGGGCACAGCGCCCAAGTCAGCAGCCCATGTCACACTTAGACATCTGATACATCTGTTGCAGTATCCCCATTTTCTGGCCACACCCAGAAAGGTCATTGGAAAGTTGTTCCATCATCTTGAGCTACTCTGCACATGTCACAAAATGCATTCGCCCGCGCTCCTGGAAGTAGAACTTCAGAGGAAAGCGATTTGAATCCTCAAGCTGTTCGCATGGGCACTTGTGAGTTTCGAGTTGCTTGTCACCCAGCGTCAAACAAAAGGCCAACAGGATCAAGTGATCTTTGGGTCCTGTAAATTCCGCAGCTTCAATGACTCCTGGAGGGGGAGCCTCTGCCCAACTGCATCTACAACATTAAACCTGGTACCTGCACCGGCACTAGCAGTAGAGAAATAAAGACAGCTCACACAAAGGCAAATCTTCAAGATGTGTCATGTCATGTCCGTTCAGCAAGAATGATGGACTGTGGGAACAGTTCCAATGACTTTGTATCTGTGCCAAAGCAACATGAGCTGGCTCATGGCGTGATGAATCCAATGCCGCATGAAACTAGTTGGATCAGGTTTCCATCCCAGCAGGCCTTCTTGGGACAGCTTTATCTTGCGCTTGGTCAGTACGTTCAACACATGAATGTACCAGTCATTCGCCCAAACGATTTCCTGTCAGGGGCCACGCACCCCAATCAGCAGCGGCGAGCAAGCTTGCTTACACCAGCAAAACGGAAATACGGCAAATATCACAGAAGTCTGCTTACGTTTGTTGCTCCACGCAAGTCAGTGGGGGCCTCAACGTGTTCATCGCTGCGTTTTTTCTTGCCATCATCTTTGGATGACCTAGCTATATGAGTGACAAGGTAAACCTCAACTCATCAAAGCATACCTTAATGATCCGCACTGATTTTGCTCTCTGACAAATGAGGCATGTTTAATGCATTTCTGTTTTAAGGGTTTCGGGTGAAACAATATTGAACCAGTATATCCAAGCTACTGTTTGTTTTCTTCACCGTCGATTCGCTTCCGGATCGCAACTGTCCAGACCGAAATTGCAGGAGATGTCAGCCACCCATCGAGATCATGCTATCTATAATCTATAGTTCATTTCAAAAAAGACGACAGAAGCTGGACAGTTCTGCTGCATTTCAGGACTCACAATTCTCACATATCATTTTCGGCATGGCAAACGTGACAGAGTTCAACAGATCCAACAGCTCCATTGGGAATTCTGCCGCCTGTCCGCTGTTCCAGCCACAATCGGAGGCGCTCAGCCGCCGAGGTGGCGTTGCTCCAGGCTGCCTTCAACGGTTGGTACTGTTTTTCTAAACCATCGAGGACTTGGGAAGTTCTCCAATGGGAAGTCATGGGAAGTCCAAAGTTTTAAGACACAGCTATCTGTGTGAAAGTTTTATCACATTTTGATATGTTTTATCTACCTCAATATCTACCTCTTAGCGCCTTGCGGTTGGCCTTCGTTGGTTGCATCAGCTCTTGCCAGGTCAGGTACGGTGGCTGCGACACGTCTTCCGCTGCGGTGTCAACCACCAAAAAAGCAGGACACCTTGGCAAAAGCACGATTGGTCACTTAAAGAATAAACTAAATCTTCCATGGTTATCTGGACTACTGTAATAGATCTGATTGCGTAAATTGTGATGTTGGAAGCATTTGGAAATCCCTTCAAATGTGGCTGTTGGCAACTTTGAGACTACTGCCTTGTCTACCTCACCATCATCATTCAAAAGAAACCGGGTGGCTGTGTGATTCCAAACTCCTCGCTGAATTCCACGCAATTGGCCCATGCCTGAGGGCCACCATGGCACCAAAAAGTCGTGTCACAACTTCCACCTCACCTTCGCAAAAAATTAGCTTCGGTGGTATCCCCAACAGCCGCAACGTTTTACTTTCTGAAGCGTGCTGCCAAGCCAAGTGCTGGAACCTTCTCTGGAACCCTGTTGAACCTGACCTGGCTGCACCAAAGCCTCCGAGACCTTCTCCGGAGACTTTTCCGGAACCCTGTTGAACCTGACCTGGCTCTGCACCAAAGCCTCCCGAAGCCTTCTCCGGAACCTTCTTCGGAATCCTCATTGTGGCGGTGCTCATTTTTTTTTGATAGTCAAGTAGGTTAGCTGTTGGCAGTGAGGCTTCTTATGGAGAGTTTGCGCAGAGAGCTTGCCAAAAGAGCCAGTACAAAGAGTTTGTACAGAGCTCTCTTCAACAGATGTTGCGAAGGGGCCTCTTATATTAGCTTGTGCTGAGATCCTCCCCACGGGTCTCGTACAAAGTTCTTTTGCCGCGAACGTTTTTCCTAAAGGGCTTGTGCAGAGATCTCTTGAGCAAATCTTGTGAAGGCACCTCCTTTAGGGAGCTTGTGCAAAAACCTTACCAAGAGGTCTCCTACAGAGTTCTTGCCAACAAGAGAACTCTTCCAAAGAGTTTGTGCAGGGCAACCTCAAGCAGATTCTGCAAAGGGACCTCTATGGGCTTGTACACTTGATTTGAGATCTGTTGAAATCTATCCAAGAAGTCTCTTACAGAGGGCTTACCAAAACACCTCTTATCGAGAGCTTGCGGACAGATCGACAGATCTCATAAAGACGTTCTGCCAAGAGACCTCTTGTCGAAGGAAGTTTAGAAGTCAAACTTCCGACAATATGGACAGATGAAAAGCAGAGCAGGGCAGAGGCAGAGAGAAGAGAAAGATCAGAAGAGAGAAGAGTAGAAGAGAAAGAGTAAGAACAAAGAAGAATCCTGTTGAACCTGACCTGGCTCTGCACCAAAGCCTCCCCGACCTTCTCCGGAACCTTCTCCGGAACCTTCTCCGGAAAACCTTCTCCGGAACCTTCTCCGGAACCTTCTCCGGAACCCTTCTCCGGAACCTTCTCCGGAACCTTCTCCGGAACCCTGGAACCTGACCTGGCTCTGCACCAAAGCCTCCCCGACCTTCTCCGGAACCTTCTCCGGAACCTTCTCCGGAACCTTCTCCGGAACCTTCTCCGGAAGCTTCTCCGGAACCTTCTCCGGAACCTTCTCCGGAATCCTATGGAACCTGACTGGCTCTGCACCAAAGCCTCCCCGACCTTCTCCGGAACCTTCTCCGTAACCTTCTCCGGAACCTTCTCCGGAACCTTCTCCGGAACCTTCTCTGGAATCCTATGGAACCTGACCTGGCTCTGCACCAAAGCCTCCCCGACCTTCTCCGGAACCTTCCCCGGAACCTTCTCCGGAACCTTCTCCGGAACCTTCTCCGGAACCTTCTCCGGAACCCTATGGAACCTGACCTGGCTCTGCACCAAAGCCTCCCCGACCTTCTCCGGAACCTTCTCCGGAACCTTCTCCGGAACCTTCTCCGGAACCTTCTCCAGAATCCTATGGAACCTGACCTGGCTCTGCACCAAAGCCTCCCCGACCTTCTCCGGAACCTTCTCCGGAACCTTCTCCGGAAGCTTCTCCGGAACCTTCTCCGGAACCTTCTCCGGAACCTTCTCCGGAATCCTATGGAACCTGACCTGGCTCTGCACCAAAGCCTCCCCGACCTTCTCCGGCACACCGGAGCTATTCTGGGCTGAAGACCCCATTAGCTTACGCTGTTGAGGAAAAAACAGAAGCTCTTCGGCCAGGAAACCAACTGGAAGTACTTTGCCTGGCATGGCACTTCACGCAGTGCTCTGTGAATTGCACCGCATGGCCGTTCATACTGCTTTAAAACTGCAATCTGTTCAAACTTGAAAACACCATGGTCCGTGGTGCCTCCAGGTGAACTTCTATCTCACTGAAAATGGCTTCACCACCTCAAAAATCCAGCCATGGTGCTTTCAACAATCCATTCCATGTTTCAGCTGGGCACAGGGCTTTTCTTTTCTGCTGCATCCTGCGCGTATGACAAAATCGATTATATAAGTGTCAAGGTCAGCAAAGCGGAACATCATGGTGCTTTCTGCAAGGTCCTTCGAATCAACAAAAAAAATGACCAGAGCCTCTCGCCTCTCCTTGGTAAACCATACAGCATCTGCCAAAGACTTTGCCTATAGCCTATCGCGGAAACTTTGGCAAAAACAGTCCAAAACCTGCTCTTGTAGACACTTGCAGAGGTCAACGTAACTCCAAGCCACAAAAAGGGCCAGTAAAACAGCACTAAAAGATCTGAGATTATCTGAGAGCTGGACTAAGAAGACCCAGCTGTTGTCTGGCGTGATCTCTTTCAGCAGGACGGGCCTGTCCAATTTGTCCATCCAAAAGGCCTCAAAAGAAGCTCCTGGCAGGTCCTGGCACCGGACCTCTGCAGGTTGAGCCATTCGACAAATGCCTCCTGGACGAGAACTGATGCATTCAATGCATTCCACTCACTGCGAAACGCACAAGCTGTCCTGGTTGAGTAGCACCTTAGTTGCAGGGAAGCAATGGGAAGCAATGGGGAGCAGTTTGAGTCTCTGAGTCTCTCCAGGTCACCAGGCCTCTGCAAACTTTGAGTCCGGTGCGCTGATGGAGGATTGTATGCTTGCAGACACAGGTGGCGCAGTGCTTGCCGCAGATTTGCGGATGTAGAGCCTCATGCATTCATCCAATTGTTCCAGTAATGAGAAAGCTTCAATATCTTCAATGACCCGGGACAGCCAAGGTCATTTATATATATATATATGGTCCCGTCCTCCGTCTCTCCACCCCCCCCATGGGTTGGGTCCCCAGGTAGCAGCCCCAATTCCCTTCTATTTGCAAGCTATTGGCAGCATTTCTGAGGTCCAGCTGCGTATTTGCTAGGTCTTTGCAGCATTTCTGACTACCAGCCTCGCATTTACTAGATACATGCTACCTTTTAGGCGGCCTACGTAGCACACATACTCCTTCAAAGTACCTACGTGCTACCTATAGTCATATATACATGTGCTATGTATCTACTGTATCTACTTCCTATTTACTACCTGTGTACTCTGACAACACTACCTGTGTTTAACATATACCGTACCTACCATACATGTCAATGATGCCGAGCATACCATACCTATCATATCTTTCATACATACCATACATACCATACATATGAAATGTAATTACCACACCTACGTACACCTACCATACATACAATAGCAAACATACATGCCATACATACCACACCTACCTTACATAGGAAATATTCCATACCCATCATAGTAACCATACATACCATACAGACCATACATACTGTCATATCAAACATACCATACCCAACAGACTTACATACCATACCTACCATCCATACAATACCAACCACTCATGCCATACATACCATACCTACCATACATACCAAACATACCATACTTTCCAAACATGCCATACCAGACCGACCATACACACCATACATACCCAACATACCATACCACACCCCCACCACACCACAGGGGGGGGAGGGGGACAGTGCCACACCCCCACCACACCACAGGGGGAGGGAGGGGGAAGATCTCATATGGGGCCAGTATATGGGACCCATCCCATGGGGGTGGGGTGGAGGGGGGGGTGGTGGCAGGGCCTGGTGCATATATATATATATATATCTTATGTAAACCAATCTAGTTCCCAAAAGTTTCGATGCTACCATCGCAGCTCCGGCCCCGGGCACGCTTGGACTTGTCAGGTCCGCTCGCAGTGAGGAGCCTGTAGCAACTGTAGCGACTGTGGACCCAGAGACGTGAAGTCCTATTGCGATTTCTCCTTCTGGCAAGGTTGCTTGCACTTGCTTGCACTTTCAAGTTCACTACATATTTTATTCAAAGGGCCCTGCATCCTAGCGGCTATTCTATTGCGATCTTTTGTTGCTGTCAATTCTCTTCAGCTGAGCTTCAGACAAAGATTCAGATTGGCCTGTGCGAAAATCATCTCTCCACTCAGCAGGTTGGCTGTAGCCTCAAGAGACCAACAGAAATATGAAGAAAAAAAATACTTGCTGTTACAGCTTTTTCCAGATTACTTTCATGGATACCCCCAGAACAACCCAACTTCACTGGCTGTGTAGAGGATGGAAATATGGTGGAGAGGAAGCTTCCAGATTCCCAGTTTCTGTCATTCTTGGGAGTTGAAAATCTGGGACGTTGACCCGTTGCCCAAAAACGGCAGACTCAACAGACTGGGATTGTTGCTTGCAGCACTCCAGTCAACTTCGCCTCGAAAGAAATCACGGAAAACAGACTGAGGTCAGAAGTAGGTAGGCACTTGAAGGACGAAGCGCATCAAAATCATCAAAATGTATGGTGGATACCTGGATACATATCATTGCTGCTGGCGGCTGGTGTTGCTTCATCTGAGCTTCAAAACCTCCTCTTGAGGCTCGCCTGCGGGGTAGCAAGAGCGTCTTGTGGCCAGAAATCAAGCACGGTCCTTGCCTTCAAAACCACAGGCGAGAACGAAGGGCCCAGGTGTCCTCACATGGATACAAATTACTATAAAGGTCAGAGAGAAATGCGGATATGTGCTGACATTTCCAAATTCGTTCGGTACCAAGACCAAGTCAGCAAGGCAGTCCTGAAGAGCTCTTGAAGATCCTCCGTGTTGTTCTGAAGAGCTCCTCGACTGGAGGATTATCATGAACACTGCTTCAGATGTCCTCAAAAAGAACACTAAGTCATTATATAACCCCTGAAAGTGAAAGACGACATGTTCGAAAATGTCAGTGATACCACATTCTGATCCTGAATGGGTTCATGGGCCCTATCTGGAATCCAGAGAGGTCTGGACGCTCTGGTTGCCGTCCTTTGGGGACCATCTCACGCTTGAGAAACTCCAAGAGGTTCTTCTTTTTCACCACGCCCTCTGCTGGTCCACGGCATGCCCACATGTCCACACGTCACATAATGGCAAATACCCTTGATCATCCTACAACTTGCTTCCCGTTTCAGGACGTTCCACTTGGCGCTTTTTCCCCAACTCCGGACTGTCACTTCTTGGACAGGCAGCGACCCCGACGACATTTGTCGTCATGCTGCCAAGTGCACTAGCATCACAATCCTTCCCCAGAGCAGCAATGCTACTTATGGATTGCTGTACAAGATTTCGCTCTCTTGACATCTCTGCAGCGTGTTTGCTCTTGAGATCAGAGACTTCTTGCCTGAGCAAATGCGGGGAAGGAAATAAAATTGATTGGTTTGATTTGCAAAACAATTTCCTTTTTGTCTGCTGGATTCAAATCCAAGCGTCTTTTGGGTAGGATTGACTACATGGGGCACAAACATAACAATAACGCGTCACGAGTCGTGCGATCCTGCAACATCAACCTTTGCCTTTGCCAGACTTGGCGCTCTGCCAGGAATCCCTTGCCCGCTGTCAAGCGGCTCCCCAACCTCTCCAATCCTTTTCCCTGGTAGAAACTCCGCTGAACCAGAAAATCCAAGTACTCACATCTGAATCAACCATGTTGAACCAATACTTTGTACATCTTTATACCATGATAAGCCATGATATACATCATCTAATGATCTAATGAATATCTGATGTATCAGTGGCAATGGCACCAGTCCCCATGGTCCCATCCACAGCTTCCCCATGCTTCTACAGTTTCCCATGTTTCCCCGTATCCCGGGCATCCCAAAAATCGGGCAAGGTGCTCCTGACGCTGTCGCAGCTCCTGCAGACGGCTGCCCAGCTCCACGGCCTGCGCCGCTTCGGCCTCCTCGGTCTGAGACAGGCGCTGCTCCGCGTGGCGCAAGGCGTTGAGGCACTGCTCCTCCTGGAGATCGGAGATCATTCGGAGATCTATGGACCTCTGGGATCTGTGATCACCTTGGGGATGAGAGCCATGAGACATGATGCTTCATAGACGGTTAATAGATGTGAATGGAATGTAAATGGAAGGTACAAAGAAACACTTGAAATAAAAATAATTACAGTAAATGAAATGCAAGTGATTGGTGCATGTCCCGTTTTTCTTGAAAATTTGGACAATCACCTGAATATGTGCATGTTGAGCCTACCGATGAGAAAGGAAGATACAGAGGGTCTCGCAGGACAACACGTCGGGAAAAGACCGTTGGAATTTTCTAGCGGCTTAAAATCATTCAACAACCATGGAAAAATGAGCAGGTTGCCATCAAAAGGAAGGGCACCTGGTACAAAGTCCGGGTGGTCCCCGGATGGTCCCCCGGGCCAGTCCTGCTTTGCCAGGCCTTCGTACTCCGCGGTCATGCGCTGCTTCTCCCGTCGCGCCTCCTCCAGCTGCGCTCGACCCTCGGAGCTTCGATGGCACAGCAGCTCTGCGCGCTGCTGCGCCTCACGGACCACCGCCTCCTCCGACAGCTCAGCAGACATCACTTTGGCCCAGGCCTCGCGCACCTGGTCGAAACAAAGAACCACACAGCTATACACAGCTAAGAGTAGTGAACCAATAAATACCAATAATATACCAATAATATGTTTCAATCTGTTCCGATCTGTTTCAATGACATCCTGAATAATCGTAAGCAGCCTTGAGCTGGTATAGGCACTGGTAGATGCAAGGAAATTCAGAACGAACCTTGCAGCGATTGAAGCACTCTATCCAACTCTTGGAGCCTCAGCCTCCAGGACCATCTCCTCTTCTTCAGCTGCGACCTCTGCAGCTGAGGCAGCTTGAAGAAGTCGACTTTCCCAGGTTTCCTGTGCAAACATTCAAAGCGGAAAAATATAAGGTGTGAAGAGCTGGAAAACATCGGAAAACATCATTCTGTCAACATCATGTCTCACATCGCCACGATGCCTCGCAAGTGAGAGCCTCTTGTGCAAAACGTCCCTGCAGCTCGCTGACCTCTGATTGAAGTCGCGATAGCTGATCTCGAAGTGGGGCTGCTGCCTCCTGGTCGATGATGGAACATGCAATACATCGGATATTGGTTCCATCCTCGTGCCTTGAAATTTCCCAATCGCTGGACCATTGTGAGAAATGAAAAACTTTGGAGGGGTCCCACAGTCCCACATTTTCGACACCCACATGGTAGATCGCCTTGTCATGATGGCATTTTGACATATTTTGACAGGCGTCCTCTGCTGCAGCTGCTACCATGCTCTTGCTCTCAGGGCTCTGGCATCGAAGCTCCTCCACAGATTCCGCAGCTGGCAGGTCCAAAATGGGGTACCAAAACAAAAAAGACCGTTTGATTATGTAATAGTATATTGTGTGCAATATCTATATTATTTTAGATATATATATATTATATTATATTATATATATAATTATATTAGATGATTATATATTATCATTAGATATATAATTCTATATATATATATACAGATTAAATAATTTAATACATATTATATAATTATATATACATATTATATAATTATCGGCAAATCCAACAGGTTTTGGGATCCCCAACTTTTAGCAACTGAATGCGGCATCCTCCTCCAACTGTCGAGCCACGGCAACCTCGCTGGTGGCCTGCTCTTCAGCTACTCGAAGCAGGTCCTGCCAGGGTGATTTGGCTGAAGAGGTCCCACTCCAACGGGAGATTTGAGATAGAAGAAACATGAAGAACTCTGCCAAAGACAAACCTGTGAGATGATCATCCACCGATCAACTCGCCTCTTGTTGCGCCACCTCTTCCAGCAGTTCCTGTCGCCGCTGGCTGCGCTGCTCCTGACGACTTTGTCGCTCCAGCTGCCGCCTCTGGAGCTCAGCTTCCAGTCGACCCTCGCGCGCTTTGAGCTCGGCCAACTCACCTAAGAGTACGATGGGCGGACGGCTCAAAAGTTTAGGATCCAAACTATCAAAAAAACAGGTGACCAAACTGGAGGACGAAAGCTTGGCAGGGAGCTTAGCATGAAAACACCACAACGATGAGGATGCGGATGCTGCCGAATTTGCTGCTGGTGGCAACATGCCGATGGTGTCCCCAGGGGGATTGAGCCACGGCCAAACTGCTTGTGAACCAGCCAGCTGGGGGAGGGTGGGTAGTTAAGTATGAAGTTTCATGCGATTGGAGATTCCAGCCCCCAATGCCTTGCTAAAGCATGCTAGAGCAAGAGGGGCTTCAGCTCGCAGAAGCTAGTTTTCGTGATTCTGAACTAGCCCGACACCAGCGAATGTTTCTGCCAGTCTGGTTTGACAGCTGAAACTACATGGAGCCCCTGAGACCCATCAATCATGGCGTCAAGATGACTTCCGTCATAACGAGTATGGTATCACAAGGACTTTTTTTGGAGGGCTCCTGACAGCTGAAATGACCAGTTTCGGCCTTCTGAATAAAAAGCGAGTATAGTATGACTTCTAAAATGGGCAAATGTGAAAATAAAAAAAAAGTTTTCTATGGTCATCTATGGTCTATGGCTAGTTAATGCCATGTCCAAAAATAAGATCCAAATCCATAGTCCCATTGCAGAGCAGCCTGTGATTTCAGCTTCCCTCGAGGCCATCGCAGCTGCAGCCCGGCGCACCGCAGCCTCTTGGTTGGCTTCCAGGCTTTCCTCACCAACTGAATTCACCAATGCCACAGAAATCCAAAACATCCAAAACCCATTGATGGCTTCCAGGCCAACGAAATGTGTGTGTGTGTGTGCTTTTAACCCGGAAGGCTTAAAAATATTCCAAATCAAATGTCATCAGCACCTGCATGCTCCACCTTATATAGATGGCCAGTGTGAACATGCAAAAATTCGACTAGAGTCCAGCTCTTCTTCACCAGAAGCAGTGGCAGCATTTAAGAAGCCACGTTCCAACTCCTGACAAGACGCTGGATGGTCTGAGCATTGAACATGATCTATCTTGCAGTATCATGTCACAGCTGTCACAGTACTCACATAGCCCACCCCCTCCTTTTTGAGGTCAGAAATGGCTTGGTCCACAAGGGGACCAGCAAGCCCATCAGCAGCTAGGAGCCGTTCCTGAAGCAACCATCTTTGTATCCAAACAGAAAACCTTCACCCATAGCCTTTCCAACATCAAAAGCAAATAAAGTATAGTATAGATAGTAGAGTATAGTCATGGAAAGTCATCATTTTGCGAATGCGCTTGTGTGAGAGAACAGCTGAAGCCTTGAAAGAATCACGGTGAAGCAACATAGAAACTCCGACATAAGAATATAAATTAAGAATCTCTTTCGCTACAGAGTGCTAAAGCTCCAAAGCAAGGACTTGATCCGGCACAGATCCAGCTCCAAAGACCCTACCTTAACCTGCTCCAGATTGGCAGTGGGTAGTGCTGCTGCAGCACCATCCAACAGCCGTTCCACGATCCGCTGCTGGCGCTCCAACACCAACTCCAGTTGAACGCGCTTGGCCTGTAGTAAATGAACACAATGGAAATGTGACTGGAGGAGTCTTCCAAAAGATTATGGCTAGACATGGTTTCCATTGAAATTGTTGCAATTATATAATTCAATTGATGCTCAACTGCTGCTACATAGCCCTGTCATCTGCCTAGTCTGCCAAACTCCATCTGAGGCACGTTCTTTCTGTCGTTTACTTATTCCACTTCAATTTAACTTTCGTTGCATCATCCATCAACACTGTCGTCCCGCTCCTCCTGAGCTGCCTCTTCTGATTGGAATTGCTGACGCTGGCTTTCCTTGTCATGCAACGGGCTTGGAGTAGAGCAGCAAGTTCTCAATGAATCAAAATGGTCAGAAAAAGGACTAATTATGACTGATTGCTGATTCATGAAACCACTGAGGACGGAAACTATTGGCCTAAGCTATCCCATTTTTTTTCCCAACACGTCTGTTTGTGGGACCGCAGGGGCAAGGCACTGCACGCTGTCTCTGTTGGTCAACCTCCTCAATCTCTGCTGCGAGCGTTTGGCGCTGCAGTGATAGGCTCTGTCGGGCTACAGCCGAGGCCTCTGCGGGCCCATGACTGGAAACATAGAGCTGAGTTAATTTGATTGAAAGGCTTGGGGCGAGTTGAGAATGGTTTCTCATAATCGTGCTGAGACTCTTGCTTCACATACAAATATCATATGACAGGGTGTGCTGCTTCAGCGCCTGTGTGCCTCTCTGTTGGCAAAACTCAGAGTCCCAAAGCATTGTGGAATGATGTGCATTACCATATTCGTCCGGCGAGAACCTCTCACTGTAGCTGCAGCTAGGCAACCTCCAAGTTGTGAAGACAGTCTTCAAAGCGTCTGTTGCAGAGTTGCTGAAAGTCAGCCAGCTCCTGGTACCAATGCAACAAACTAGGAACACGGCCTTTATCTGGCCGTGGTGTTTTTGTGATCAACGGGGTGTCATGGATGATGTTTGATGTGGTCGTGCCAATAGGATTTTGGTTGATGTGATTTCAAAGGCGAAAAACCCGTGATTCTGGTGCATAAAATCAAAATCTAGCGTTTCGCCTAGGCGAAACTATCATTTTTGATGTTTCTCAGAACTCCCCAACTAATTCGACCTGGATTGTTTTGATGTGAGTTCAAAGACAAGAAACCCCCTTATTCTGGTGCAGGAAATGAAAAAACAAGTATTTCGCCTAGGCGAAAACGCATTTTTTGTAATTCCACATGTTATGTATTGATGAACGTTAACACATGCCCCACCCCACCCCACCCCACCCATGTCTACACGCACATAACGGCACACACAGAGACGAGTCCACTGACCTAGCAAGTTCACATGAACGTTAACACATGCCCCACCCCACCCCACCCCACCCATGTCTACACGCACATAACGGCACACACAGAGACGAGTCCACTTACCTAGCAAGTTCACATGAACGTTAACACATGCCCCACCCCACCCCACCCCACCCATGTCTACACGCACATAACGGCACACACAGAGACGAGTCCACTTACCTAGCAAGTTCACATGAACGTTAACACATGCCCCACCCCCCCAATGTGCATGAAAACGCACGGCCAAATAAAGGCCGTGCTCCAACTAATAGGAAAAAAGGAATAACTGGATTGGATACCAAATATCCTCAAATATCCTAACCACTGGATACTCCTTACAGCCTTACTACACTGTTCCCATTTTTTGGCGGGAAACCATCGGCACTTCGTTCTTCGGGCTCCTGCTTCACGTCGCTGCGCAGCTGTTGCCAATCCCTCCGCGTCTCGGCCAAACGGCCACGCAGCAAGGACTCCAGCTGCAACACCAGGGCACCAGCGCGGTCTACACGGCGCACCTGGATATTTCCAGCGGCTCACAGTGCCACAGAACTTAAATAGCATTAAATATCATTCAAATATCATCAAATATTCTCCCCGATCTTCCCCTTTTTCATCGGTTCACCGGTTCACCTTTTTTCGTGGTTCTTCTGTCTTCTATTTCATACGTTTCCCTTTTTCTTGACTCCTGACACTACAGGGCTGCAAAAATGCTCACTGGATTCCAAAGTGGACCCAGATTATTAACTTGGTACCTTGGATCTCAAGATATTTGGCTGTGAGTCAAAACCCCCGGTCCCCGGTGGATATGCGGCAGCCTTCTGTTCAATAGGGTATTGAACGGGGGTATTGAACGGGAGGTATTGAACGGGGGGATAACGGGGAGTATTGAACGGAGGGCATTTCCTAAACAAACATCCCACCGACTTTGGAGGCATAGCTGGGCAACGGAGCTGGAAAGCCCATAGTGAGGTATTGAACGGGTATTGAACGGGGTATTGAAGGAACTACCTCAAAAAACCGGTAGCCGAACCAGTCATCAAGTTCTCTGCCAGCGGGAAATCACTACGAGTACAAAGGAAAACGGCAAATGCACCAGTTGGAATCACCCAAGCTCCCAAGACCCAGGGTGCTGTGCAGGGTGCTGTCCAGACTGCGGTGGCGAAGTCTGGCAAAGGTGCTGTGCAGGGTGCTGTGCAGGGTGCTGTCCAGACTGCGGCGGCGAAGTCTGGCAAAGGTGCTGTCCAGACTGCGGTGGCGAAGTCTGGCAAAGGTGCTGTGCAGGGTGCTGTGCAGGGTGCTATCCACACTGCGGTGGCGAAGTCTGGCAAAGGTGCTGTGCAGGGTGCTGTGCAGGGTGCTGTCCAGACTGCGGTGGCGAAGTCTGGCCAAGGTGCTGTGCAGGGTGCTGTGCAAAAAGTACCTAGAATTGAAGCAGGATATTTATTGAACAAGGGTATTGAACAAGGGTATTGAACGGGGGGTATTGAACGATGGGGACCCTTCTGTTCAATAGGGTATTGAACGGGGTATTGAACGGGATATCCACGAGTACCTGTTCAATACCAAAACGTTTTGACTCACAGCCATTTAAAGCATCCAAGGAACTGTTTCCTCCAGCTCCTGCTCCAAGAGAGCCACCTCCTCAGCATCAGCACCTTGACCCACCACCTTAGCCTCTTGCAATCGTCCAAGCTGCGTCCGCAACTCACCTGGCGGCCAAGGCGTTGGCTCCTCCGCAGCCTGCGCTTCTCGCTCAGATGTGGCCAGCTGCGCCTTCAAGGCAGCGACAGAGGCGCGCTCCTCAGAAGTTCAGGCCGCACGGCAGCATCAACTGTAACAACAGCGTTCTTTGAAACATTTTGAAACCATGCGCCAACCGATGAACGCAAACGTTGATCAAAGGTCTCAAGGCAACTGGAAGAGAAATGTCGGAAAATCAGATTGCCCCCGAAGCGCCTCGTCCACAATCTGCTGCAAACGGGAGATGTTGGAACCAGCTTCCTTCCAAAATGAGACAATCGCTGGCAAAACATCCAAGCTCAACTCTGCTGCCATATTCAGATCTCAAAGTCAAATTATACTAAACACATGTCTGACCACATTCTCTTGTGAACCTGTCCGAACATGCTATGCTGGTACACAATGCTCTAATTCCAGCAGCAATGAATGCACCGGTGAAGTTACATTTCCTGGCAATTGCCACGTCATGCCGTTTAGAGATTTGTAAACCCCCGTCCGCCAGGGAGGCAGCCAGCATCTTCCGCTGTTTCTCAGCCGCTGCAACACGATATGTCGCATCATCTTGACGGCGCTTCAGCTCAGCAAGCTTCTGTCGACGAGAGAAAACCCAAGTGGTGAAGGCAAACGATATCTGATCATATCTGCAACATTCTGCAACCCTGGAAGCATGAAGACTCTGAAGCCGGATGACTCAAGCCTCTGAAGTTGATTTTGTAAATGTTGGTTTGACCCAGCATCTATTCCATGAAAATCTGATCAGCCGTCAAGAGGGACAAACCAAAAGAAAGGTAGTCCTTTTCAATATTTTTCAGTAGTGAAAGCAAAAGCCTCAGTCATATGTACTCAGCCACCATCAGCCCATGTCCTTTTGGATTTCTCTGTGGCCTGCCTTTTTTCTCTCCTTTTGGAGCAACTCGGTCCTCTGAAAGGTGAGATGATCCAAACCCATCTCTACTGAGTCTCTACTGTTCCGACATGTTTGGAGGCTCCATGTGCCGCTTGTTAGCAAGGGTCAAGTTGCCAAAACCAATCCCATCTTTTTTGTCTCTTTCTTCTCACGGGATGCGACATTCGAATAAAGCCAGTCCTCTGAGTCTGCGACTCTCTGGACTCGCTCTCCTTGGACACTGGCAGGACTTTGGATTGAATGGATATATAATATGTTATTCAAGTCAGCTCTTCATGATCCACCGTACATATCAGTTCATATCACATCAAATCAAGCAAAAACAAACAGCATCAGTTCCTTTCACTATAGCTGCAGTGTCTGTAATATGTGTATACATATATATATAGAATAGAACATATACATACAGTTTACATACATATACCACATGCATCCACATGCCACAATCATCTCAATTCGTTGCTACGCCAAGTCACGAGTGCTTGAAGTCGCTCTTGAAAGTTATGCGCCTGCTCCTCCAGGAGCTTTTCGTGGACGGACAGCGGCATCCTCGCTACATCCAGATGGCGTTTGGGCCCTTTGAGTTCTCAGATGGGCTCCTATAACAAGCTGCAGCAAAGTGGCTGGTTGGCCGGTTGTAAATCTTGTAGATCCTGGCCTCACATTTTGAAGCCCAAGAATTGCAATGATAGCAATGTGTGACTTCCCATAAAAAATGACGGGCAAAATTCTATTATGGGGTTTGTCAAGAACTGAAATCGGGTGCAACAACCACCCATGATTCCTGCAAAGGATGAAAGTTCTGAAAGCTGCAACTGTGAGCTCCCAACGCTCCATGGAAGTCCGCCAGCGGCCAAGCTCTTGTTGCCGTTCCTGCAAGCATCTTTTTGAGGGGTTGAACGCAACATATATACCATTATGAAAATGATAAAGGCAATACACGATGCTATTCACAAAACAGGCTTGTAATGGACTCATGGGTGACTGTGGATGAGCAAGATGGAAGAATCCGAATTTCTGTGTAAGCAGCATTACTTTCTCGCACTTGATCATGTGCCCTAGGAATCTTCCTTAAATTCCAGCAACGCAGCAACAACACCTCCAAGGTGGCGTTTTGATCTCGGATGCTCTGCTCAGTCAGCTGTAGAGCACTTTCCACCTGTGCTGCATTGCTGTCCGCTCAGTTATGTCCGAAACATGGTTTCTTTCGTCCGTTTCAATTTCGAAAACAATTTATAAACATCATCAGCCATCTCTGAAGTTCATGATTATATCGTATTAGAGATACACAGATATACATTAGATAGATATTATATATATATATACATTAGATGTACACATCATATCCGTTGGAAATACTAACATCATATCTAAGTATATACTGACATTTTATATCTATATAATATACATGTCATCTTCGAATTTCCCATCCCTCCCCGGGCCGTCGCGCCGTCGCCTCCTCCAAGCGCTGTCGATTTCGCCTGGTGCGCTGCTGGCGCCTCTGGAGCTCCGCTTCCAACTGGCCCTGCAACTGCTGAGCTTCGCGCTGCGACTGGGCCTCGGTTTGCCATGGTTTACCCCATTTAGATATTAAACATTATATATCGGTATATACAGTACATGTGACATTATATACAGTACATGTGACATTTTATATATCATAATATATCATATATTATATATACACATCTAGTCTGTGATATATACATGTGTTTATGTGTATTATATATATATATATACGGCAAATGCCTGGGTTTTGCCCGGACCCGCAATGACGACAGGCGACGCATCATGTATATTACATATATATATATATATATATCATATTATATATGTACTGTATATATACAGTATACACGTACATTTTACATATGTATACAAATGGACGTATATCCCTAATGTGGTGGTCGAACCAAAATGGATGTATCATCATTGTATCATCCTTCAAATTCTGATTATCACCAGAAAATCGGATGATTGACTCATTGTTATTGCATCAGCGCCAGTAAGAAGATTGACAGTCTTTACTCAATCATCAGCATTTAACCCGCAAAGATCAGGGTAACCATCCCAAAAAAAGGATGCTATACAACTCTGAAAATGAACAGCATGTTTTGTTCCCTTTTCCCTAAATTTTGATTCATCCCCAATTCAAAAATGAAAAAAACACCACCCTGCACTTGTTGGACTCAGGACGAGGTGGCTTTTGACCAAATTGAAGGGTGGGTTGCCAATCCACGGCGCCGATATCCTTCATTCATCCCATGTGGCCAGGGGGCCATGGCTTGTTCAAACTGCTCTCCCACTTTGGCATATCCTGATCACGATAGGAATTCTTTGACCATCTTTGACCCTTGGAGTGATGGACTCAACGCGTGTCTGCAGTTCTTTGGTTTCACTCACCAGTTGTATTTCAGAAAATTCAGAATGACAGACAGAATCCATTCGACGCTTCTGCTGTCAAGCCACGTTCTCTCAGCAACAGCTTCTGCTGCTCTGAGGACTCAAGCTGCAGCTTTGCCTCCTCCAAAGAGCTACTCAAATTGCGGGCAGCATTGGCCGCGCTGGCTGTCTCCTTAGTATGTTCCACAAAGTCATCTAGATTTGGCTCCAAAATGGCTGGTGCTTGCGGAAGTCACTTTTTGCTGATGCCATAGAGCCACAACTTTGGTCAGTGCTCATGCCGTGCCATCCAATTCTAATAGTAAATCAATGTAAATCAATGTAAATCCTGTTTAATCACATTCGTTCACCATATAATCACACCCTTTCGTTCCCCTTTTGCACGTTCAGCTGGGCACCTGCTGGGCTCTGACCCGCTGCAGCTGCAACTCTTCCAATTTCTGACGGAGGTCAGAGACTTCCTGGCGACAGCTTTCCTTGGCGAAAGAAAATGCACTGTAATCCTTCGGATCTTTTGTCAGGTCAAGCCTTATATTGTACATTATCATTATACAGATGTATACAGTAAATCATCAGTAATTATATACCCCCTCATGATCCCTCATGCACATTGTTGTACGATACAAAGTTCAAGAGAACCCCGGTGCAATTCACAATTCAGTCTAAGTCTAAGGTTCGATTTGCATCTCATGTGATTGACGGATCTCTGTGAGCTTGCATGCTTCCGCTTCAAGCATTGAGATCTTCATTTCCGACCTCGGATCTTGCTGCTTGCTGCTTGACAAAAACTAACTGAGGGTATCACCACGCTTTCAAACAATGCGAGCCGCGCTGCGAGCCTTTGTTGTACGTCCCACAAAAATCCGGTAGAGAGAAGGTTCCACTTAGCAATTGCTCCAAGGAACTCCTCTTGGGAGTGGCGTTGAGCCAGCTCTTCCTGCAAGCGCGCAATATCTCTGCGCAGCTCGGAATGCTCTGCTTCAACCTCTGTGAGTTGTGCCCGGGCATCACTCACCACCGCCTCACATTGAAGCCCCAAAAATGAGAGGTCAGACATGTTCAAGTTGAAACGGATACAGGTGAATCAAAGCCATAGACGCCCACAAGAATGAACAACTGGATGCTATGAACAACCTCAACAAATTCAGGGCATCGAGTGTCATTGATACTGAAGTTCACCATGACTCTGACTCAATTCCGCCAAAGACCGCTCTCTTGGTTCCACAAACAAATAACATGCCATTGATACTCCGTGACCCATCTTGATCTCTGCCTGGTGTCTCTGCTCTGTGGCCCGCAGCTCACTTTTAGCCTCTCGCCGATCCGCTTCAAGCGTCACAACTTTCGTGGCGAGGTCCTCAATCTGCCGCCGACGCTCCGACATCAATCGCTCATCCACCAGCGCTTGCATCTGTGACTGGAGGCGATTCATGGCAGCAGTGACTCGACTCAAGCCAGCCAGTCTCAGTGAGATGAAACATGAAAATGTGAAGCGGTGGAACGATACGCCATGTGCCTTCAGCCATGATGTGCCTCTATCATATCCTTTATCAGGGTCTGAATGCTGTTTTTTTACTCACATGCATGGCGCCTTCATGTATCCATTCAAGAGTAGCCTAATCTTCAACCTCAATCAATCCAATGCTTCTTGGCTACCCTGATCTCACAATCAAACAATAACTTGCGACCAAAGCGTGCACCACTGTCCCACTGAAGAGAAGAAGGCTGCAGCACCATTGCACTACAGGAACTTCAAAGCCTACAGTAGTTGGGTTTGCCCAGAAATCCGCCCACACCGCTTTGGCGGTGAAGGCGTGCTTATTGGGGGGCAAAACAGCAACACTAAATGCTCAATGACATTTGTTAATATAGCAGTCGCTATATCAGCTTTAGCTGGGGGGGGGGGGCCCAAAAACGGTTTCGCACCGAGACCAGAATACGGTGGTGTTTTCGACATTTTTCGAGGATTTTTGGGTGTCTGAGCGCAAGAGGGTATTGAAATGGAATTTTGGGTCATTTTGGTAGCTTTCCGGCAATGGAAAAACGGCCAAAAATGAAAAAAACATTGTACATAGCAAGATTTTGCAGGGTTTTTGGATGCCAGAGCATTGAAAACACTGCAAAAACAAGTGTTTTGGACTGACGTTATAGCAAAAAACGTGTAAATTACCGTATGCTTGACTGGAAACATTACAAAAACACTGTCAAAAGCAATGTTTTGGAAGGATTTACTGCCTTTATGGCAAAAAACGTGTAAATTACCGTCTGTTTGACTGGAAACATTGGAAAAACACTGTCAAAAACAATGTTTTGGAAGGATTTCTTATATATATGTTGGAGTTGGCTACCGGCATTGGAACATGGAAAAATTGAAGAAAACACTGTAAATAGCGGTATTTTCAACGGTTGGGGAGATAAGGGAATTGGAAGCATTGTCGAACATGATGTTTTCGACCGGTTTTATGGCGACAAAAGTGTAAAGTACCGTGCTTTGAAGGAAACCATTGCAAAAACATGGAAACACATTCAAAGAACACGGGATTTGGGGGACTATCTAGGCGTCGTTGTCTAGCTATTTGAAATTCCGCAGCTTGGAGAGCCTCCAAGGGAGGGAAAAGTGAAAATTCCATAGCTTGGGAAGCTGTCACGGCGGGGAAAAGTGAAAATTCCCTAGCTTGGGAAGCCCCCACGGGGAGGAAAAGTGAAAATTCCCTAGCTTGGGGAGCCCCCACGGGGGGGAAAAGTGAAAATTCCCTAGCTTGGGGAGCCCCCACGGGGGGGAAAAGTGAAAATTCCCTAGCTTGGGGAGCCCCCACGGGGGGGAAAAGTGAAAATTCCCTAGCTTGGGGAGCCCCCACGGGGGGGGAAAGTTAAAATTCTTAGCTTGGGGAGCCCCCACGGGGGAAAACCACCCTTAGCCCCTCTCACGGACCTAAATAAACCTGCGGTGTGGGCGGCCACCCCACGCGAAGCGGGGTGAATAGGGTATTAACGGTATAAATGTATAAAGGCAAAATGTTTTAGATGCAGAATTGCCCTTGGAAAGATTCAAAAGGATCCAAACGAAGCAATGGAAATATCTGCAGGTAAACTGCATCCCAATACCTTCCATATGCCTCTGCACCAATTTAGTGTCGGGAAAATGGCGGTAAACCATGGTAAACCACTACATGATTTTGGGGTGTTGGGTATTGGGAGAAACCCGGATGGATCTGCTACTCTTTGAGAGTCCAGAGCCTTGTATTCCTTGGCAACACCATCTCCTTACAACTCACAGCCGGGGCTTTGGGAAGGCATGGCGCCGGGAAAGAAACATGCCATAAGGAGCTTGGAACAAGACTGGATGAGATTGTGCCCTTACTTTTTAAAATGGAAGAGCTCGATTGTTGAATCATTGAACGCCCACAAGATTTGAAAGCTACCGATGGTCATGTATAGGATCATTGTGATCAACCATCGTCAAGCCAATCCATACAACCAGTCTTTGCCACATGCATCTCAGTCTGAGCAACGAACTATAGCGCAAAATGATCATAGGGTAAAATCTGGGGCGCTTGAAGCGGAAGGGTCCTTCTCAACACATCTGAACGTGGAACCACTGGTAAAGTTCCACACTGACATGCTTTTCACTAGCACCATGAGTCATGACAATGAGATGACCTCCATCAAGCCTCACTAGGTCATGACAGATCTGTGTCAACAATTTTCATTCCACCACTCCACCAGGTCGACCAGGTCCTTTGTAGGGATCCTGCCATACGGTTTCTAACTGGGGAGCCTGACACATTTGCCAAATGAAAGCAAGACTTTGAAATCCACACCATCAGTTGGGTCCAATAGCAAGCTATTGCTGGGATTCAATGCTGCCTGCCTCGTGATGTGCCAAGTAGCTGTGTACCTCGACACTTCCATCCAAGGAAAATTGCTGGCCATGGGGGTTTGCTACTTGAATGCCACTAGTTCTCGCGCTCTTGTGCTGCTTTGGTGCTGTCACGTCCACTGCTCCAAAGTAACCAATCCTAGGCACCAGTCTCAGGGGAAGACAAGACCCGCAAGTTCTGGGGCTCGGCAGTAGAAACATCAAAAAGTGGCAAAATGCCAACATGTCTGCGGGGCAAAGTTTCGGTTCCGTCATCTTCGCCAAGGCATCTGCTGTGTCCTCCAAACAGGAAGCAGACGTTCCCCGTCATTGTCAGGACAGAATCTGTCGCAATCCGAGTATCCTCGATGATGGACTGCAGTTCCCGGAAGGACTTGGACCGGGGGTCCTCCAGACCCAACTAGGATACCAACCACCAATTAAGGTGGGAATGGATGGGATTTGAAATGCAAACTTTCAGTTAAGGTCAACTTGTTTTGTGACCCCACACAAGTGCATAGAGACGGCTCCACGAAGGAGTCGGTTTCAATTCAATCATCATTAAATATCATTAAACCATATTAAACCACCCCAGAAATGGATACCAATGGCAAATTGTTGGGACCAGTCAGGAAATGCATTGGAAAGCCGGCGTCTGCGTAAGCGCTTGGCAGGCTGAGTCCCCTGCGTAGAAGGCAATCAACAGTGGATGGCTTCCTTGGCCAAATCGTATGGCGTCGCTGCTGTCATTCTCGATCCGAACACTGCCGAGCACTGTGAGATTTTGCAACGATGGAGTCAAGGAATTCACAACTGCAAACCTCCAGTCCACGAGCGATGACACCCTGGACAGCAGCCAACCCACCCTCCAATTTCAAGCTGTGGATCGAAAATGAGTCACCTAAGAGATGGCAACTACAATCGAGGAAGTCTCAGATTTTGTGCAGCTCCAAACACAGCTCAGCATCCCATAAAGTTCCACAAAGCTCACAACAAAACGTGGCAAAGCCCAGCCAGCAAATGGATTGAAGGCTGAGGAGAACACCGTCTTGTTAAAGTCCAATGTGCCAATCGCCATAACATTGGGACTCCTCTATGCATCTCCAATCGCGAGTTTCAATGTTTCTATGTCGGGGTCCAGTAGCTTGGATGGATATAGTAGACAGATGTAGACAGTATTTGCCTCGTTATGCATGTTGTCATCATGTTATGCTGCTCAGTTCTTGGTATCTCACTTGGACGTCCTGAAATTCTGCATCGCAGCAGACTCCCACCATCTCTCTTCAGAGATTCTCGCCTGCAAATCACACAAAAATGTGATGACCAAATGATCGCTGAATGGGCTGAGAAATATCAACCAGCATCACAACTTCCAACTTGAAGGACTCTCTGCACGAAGTGACCGGCCTGAGGGGCTGCACAAGCCTACGATTACATCTCGCTAGCATTCTGTGTGTTGAGAAGAGTGTTGCGAGGTATCCATCATCTTTAAAGTTTAAAGTTTTAACTTTGAATGCTCCCGCAAAGCAAAGAAAGGTCCAAGAGTCATCGCAGCGTGGGCAGTGACAAACATCATAAGCATCCAAGGACCATTGGCCTCATCAATGCAAGATCCGCTATCATGTTGCCTTGGTCTATTCAGAACAGAGATGAACAGAGTCTACTGCCAGCAAAAATCCAGTGGCAATCATGGGGGAAGTGACACCTTTCTGATAGAGTTCTGGGTGCAGGGCCCAAAGCCAACTGCTGCCAATGTAGTCACCTCAAGTTCACTTGTCTTGGATCAACGTCCAAATGTTCAGACATCCATTCTGATTGCCCTCTACGTTGCCACATACCCGGTTGGAAACCAGTTCTAGTCAATATGGTTGTGGGTCAAAAACCCAGGCACCCTGGAAAACACCAAAATAGCTGGTAAACTATATTCAAAAATGGATTCATAATCCATCCCCATAGCTGTGAAGCGGAGATTGTTATCTTATGTTATTTTACACTCAACATCACCCTCCGACTTCAACTGGCATCCCAGTAATGGTGTCAAGAAATTTTGCTGCTGGCAGTTCCAAAGCTCCCTGCAAACTGGACGATGCTCTTGCGAAAGCCCATACGCTTTGACCGATGGCATTGGCAAGTCGTCAGAAAATGTGAAGTTTGAAAAATGTTTCAAGCAGTCAGTGGTGCAGCATGTGTGGCTTGTGCACAGAAACCACAAAAACTTACTGCCTGTCTTGTTCCACTCCAGCAGCCCTTGAATGGCAGAAGCAGAGTCAGGTAGAAACCAGAACAGTCAGGATCCAGCTCCACACTGATGGTTCCATTTCTGTGCCCAAATGTTGATCATTTGTTCAAATCCAAATGAAGCTAGAACAGTGTGTGCAAAAACATGATCATCGTTCCTGCTGCCCGCCTTTTTCTCCTAATCCGCTCGAGCTGCAGTAGTTTCAACGAAACAAACGGAAAGAAATCTGTCAACAGCGACATTGGTGCCTTGAAATTCCCAACACACGGTCTAGGGATCTCATCTTTTTGCGGAGGTACCTTTGCTAAACTGTACCTCTGGTCGTTCCACATCATAACCAGAGGATTGGGCCTTTCCTTCCAGGTAGCGTTGACCCAGCATTGTTTCCAAGGATGTCATGGCCTCAACCAGCTGATTGTCGAGTTTGGAGTCCTCCAAAGCTGCAGGGCTCTCAGCACTAGCCACCAGTTGCCGGCCAAGCCGCCCCAGCTTCTTCTTCCGCTCGGCAGCTGCCTCTTCCGCCTTGGCCCGCTGCAGCAAGTGAGCCTGCAATAGCGCCTCTGCATCATCCACAGCATCTTCCAGGGTCTCTTCTGCTTGGGCCGTTTGCCGCTCAATTTGAGCACATGCCACATTCCACGCCTCTCGCTGCTTCAGACGCTGAAAGTGCCGCAGCGTCTCTGAGCGCTTGTCTTGGCGATTCTGCAATTGCTGCTCATAGGCCAAAGCCTCATCCCGCAGCTGGCAAGCTTCAGCCTCCAAATGCTTAAGGGCACCACTCTCACGACCCAGTTGTAGTTCATGATCAGCTACAGACTCCAATGTTTTCTTGGAGTCAGGGCTGCCTAGGGAGGCGGCCAACAAGAAGTTCACCGACTGTGCTGCTTCGCCAAAAGGATCCTGCTCAGCAGCTGCTGTCCAACTCTTCGGGGGTTTCTCTTCATCACCCGAGTGCAGCAATTTTCGTAAATAGACATGTTCAACATCTGACTGCAAAGTCCAAATTGCTGGCCCTGCACTTGTTCGACACAGCTGCGCCCAAACCTCTGGGCCACTTGCTTCACCACCAAACAATCGAATGGTCTGAGCTACTTCAACGACATCGTAGGCTTCCAGATTGCCCACAATTGGAGAGAAGAGGCTGGGCGCTGAGCGCAGGTTGTGGTAGGAAGTCACTTGAGGATTGACCTGATACGAGCCCTGGCCGCGTTCTTTGCCAACTTGCCTGGGCAAGGTTTTCATTGCCTGCGGAAGGCCACATGCCAAGCACCGACTCCTTTGGAGTGAATGCTTGAGCCAAGCTGCCAACACTGCAGGTCCAGAATCTAGAGCCACCAGTTGTGAGGGAAAAAACGATCCGTCCTTGTTGTGAAATGTCACTTGACGGACACCATGTCTGCATTTTTTTTCTCGAAGCAGCTGGGAAAACACATAATCGATCTACACTTTGCACGCATAGTCCGTCAGTGTCCGCACCTGGTGAAACACTGGAAAGCAGGTTTGTGCATCCATCACCGGCTTTGTAAAGAAGCTCAAGCAGCGCATGGTAGCCATACAAACCCATACAAGCCCCGAGCTACTCGTGTCTCTTCTGGCTTCATTTTTGAAGGAACCTTCTGAGTGCCAAGCCATTGTCCCGGTGCCGCCAATGCTGTTGATGCCCTGTCCAGTTGACATAGTATGACATCTACACTGTTCGTGCGGCCACCAGGGCCACCAAAAGCACTTCTAATTTCCCCTCAGAGAGCACAAACAAACTTTGTGGAACATTGTAAAGCATCCTATGCCAATGCAGAACCTCTGCTCATTTGTGCATTGATCAACATAGCTCCTTCATGCTAGCTGAAATTTCAGAACCTGCCTTGGGTTTCTCGGCCCATGCAGGACCTGCGATGTCCAGGTGCGCCCAGTTGATCTCCTCGAAGCTGCCAACCGTCCCAAATCTTCTCCAGACAGTTGCCCACTATTGACATACGGGGACTGTTGGCATGACATATGCTGACAGATGCTGACAGATGCTGACAGATGCTAACAGATGCTGACCTTCTGAATGAACTTCTGCAAAAAGAGCGCTGCTGTGATGGCACCGCCAAATCGAGGCCCAGTGTTCTTCATGTCAGCAAAGTCACCTTGTGGCTTCGCATGGCTCCGCAAACCCCGAAGCTTTAAGGGAGTCAGTCCAAACCCTGGACCAAACTGTCCTGAGGCTAACACTCTTCAAACCTTCAAAGTAGCCCTCCTCACAGCCACATCTCAACATGTCTCTTCCTGCAGTTACAGTATATAACTTTATATAACTTTATATAACTTTATATAACTTTATATAATTTTATATAACTTTATATAACTTTATATATATATATCCGCCGACCCCTGCAGGGGGGAGTGCGCCAGAGAAGCCGGGGCTTTGCGAATTTGCTTGTTGCAATCTTTCTTCCCGATCTTTATGTTTCTCTGCAGTCTCTGGGGCCCTTGGGGGTCCACAGGATCTGGAGGATCTGGAGTCTCTGGGGCCCAGTGTCACTTGCTGCACTCTTTCTTCCTATCTTTATGCATTCCTTA